CCGGCGTGGGGAGCGGCAGCTGTTTGCCATTAGCCGGGGACCCCGCAGGCCCCGCCCCTCCCTGCACGGGTGGGGTCCGCCTCACCCCCATCTTCGGGGCGGGGAGAGGGGCGGGAAGACCCCAGAGACCTCCAGGCCGGTCAGCGAGGGGGTCTTTAAGGGAGACCCGGTTGGACATTCGGGCCCACCGGACCCTGTGCCCCTTCCTCGCCCACCTTGTCTCCCCTGTGAGTGTCCGGCCTTCCTTTCTGTCTCTATCTGTGTCCCCTCCCTGTGCCCCGGGGGCTCCAGAGAGGGAGCGGGGCCCCAGCCGCAGACATCCCGCTCCAACCTGCTTTCTCCCTGAGGACGGCCGGATGGCTGGAGGCCCCCGGACCCCAGTCTCTGCCTGGGAGTGGGTCGGAGGGATGTGGAGTGGGGGTGCGGGCGGCTCGGCCTGCAGTGGGGAATCTGCGGGGCTTAGGTTCAAATCCAGGACCAGCCATTTCCCCCTCCCGTGACCCTGGGCAAGTCACTGCACATTTCTGCGCCTCCACATTCCCCACCTGGCGGGGTTGTCTGATACGCAGATCAGTGTTGTTTCGCTTATTCACCCCGTGCCTGCCCACCTCCAGGCGCCCCCACAGGCTATTCCAACCCTGCACCCCGCCTCCAGGCTCTCGGGTCCCCAGAAATTATTTGTAATCCTGTCGTATAGGGGGTGAGCCTCCAGGCAGGTGGGAAACCAAATTTCCTACATTCCAGGCGTTGCAAGACAGAGAAGTGAGGATAGAGACGTGGAGAGACGGGGAGAAAGACGTACAGAGAGACACAGAGACAGAGACGTGGAGAGAGATAAAGCAAGACGCTGATCGAGAGACACCGGGTGTGAGAAAAGGACCAGCTCAGCAGCCCCTGGAGCCCCAGCCCCGCCTTCATGCCCAACCGGTGTCCCACCTGGCCCGTCCTCCCAGGTACCCCCTGCTCTGGCCCCCACGGGCTGGGAAGGGTTCTCCTTGGTGCTGGGTGGGCCTGGGCCTCTGCAGGAGGGTGGCTGGAGGTCAGACCGCAGAAAGGACTGGCTGAGCTCAGACGGAGTGTTTGGGACAGAAGGACCCTGGCTGGACTCCAGGACTGGGGGGTGAGTGAGTGAGAGGCCCTGATTGTCCCTCCCCTTTGCAGCCTCCAGGCGCCCCCTCTTACTTCCTCCTCAGACCCCCATGACTTCCCGGGCCACCGCCCCTGCTGCTGGGCACCCTCTCCCCAGCCGGACATGTCCTGGGGGTGGGCAGGAAGTTCTCCTGTAGCCCGGCAGCGAAACTGTTTATTTTTAGAGAAAATTGTTTCCATAAAGGGGAAAGGCTTTGCTCCTCACTGCCTCCCCACAATTTTCCCTACCCCCTCTACCCCAACTTCCCTGACCCAGCTCTATTTTGGGGTCCCCTACCCTGAGCTGTAGCTCCCTTTTTTGTCTCTGTCTCCTCAGATCCTGGCAGGATAGCTGTCCCCCTATTAGCACCCCAGCCCCCATCTGACCCCATACCAGCTCCTGGCCTGGGCTGAGGGAAGGGGTGCAGGAAGGGTGGGCCTGCAGGTCTTGGGGCCCCCAGCCTGGGGGCCTTGTGGAGGCGGGGCTTTGGGAACAGCTGGAGACTGTCCAGAGGCTGGACAGATGTGCAGGCCGGCTGGGTGGTTTGGTTTCTTTGTTCTAGGCCCCAGGGCCCTCACCCCACCCCTTTCCACAGCTTGGCTGGGTGTACACCTATATGAGGGTCCTTACTTGGGAACTGGGTGGTGGCCACACCCCCTCCCCTTCCCCTGCAGACCCTTCCTGACTCCCATCTCCATGGCCCCTCTCCCCAGGTGAGCCTCAGCCTGTGCTGAAGGCAGTTTGACTCCTGGCCTCCCAGTGACTCGTGAGGAACATCTGCGGAGGGAGGATGGCCCAAGTCCTGCACGTGCCAGCCCCCTTTCCAGGTCAGACTTCTGCAGAGGAAGGGGGCCCTGCCCAGGGGTTGGAGGGGGGGCGGGGGGACCTGGGCCAGACCCGGAGGCCTGAGGGAGGGGAGAGGGGCCTCGGGGGTAGGGAGAGAGATAGGGCCCTACCTGGGGTAGGAGGTGGCCGAACGCAGCGCTGCCCTGAGGGCCTGAATGTAGACAACCTGACTGTCCTGGAGGGTCAGAGAGGGAGACAGGACCCTGCCCTGGGGGGAGGGGGCGGTGCCGAGACTGGAGACCCAGTTGAGCCGCTGAGGGCCAGTGGGCTCCCATCCCTTGGGCAAATAAATCTTGGCTGGGGAGGG